AGGCGTGATGTGGCTTGGTGGGGGGGCTTGGTTGACATGGTGTGGCTTGGTGGGCGTGGCTTGGTGGGTGTGGCAGGGGAAGGATACTGCAAAATCTCCATTCTCACCCCACTCCAGGGGAAGGATACTGCAAAATCTCCATTCCCACCCCACGCTGGGGCCAGCCAGCTGTAGTATTTGCCGGTTCTCCAAACTACTCAAAATTTCCTCTACCGGTTCTCCAGAATCTGTCAGAACCTGCTGGATTTCACCCCTGCCACAAGCCCTCTTTGTCATACTAAGTACATCTCTTACTTCTAAACTTTAAGCAGAGACAGTAAAAAACAGTACAGTCTTCTTAAAAAGTGTACTAATAGTGACAACAAAGCAGGTACAATACAAGTGAATGGCTATTGCAGCTTTAACCTTAGTCCCTATGTACATAACACAGAGAAATAAGGACTAGAGATGGACAGTAGGATACCAGGCAAACCTTCCTCTGTTCTCCTCCAGTAAAGAAGCCGTTTGGTAGATATGGATGATGTGTTATCCAATGATAAGAAAGAAAGAATTGAGCTGTTATCAACTGTCCAGCAGTTGGTGCCTAAAGTGATAATCTTAGTCTGTTAATTGGTGGGTCTGACTCTGACAGTCAAGAGTTTTGTGGCACTTTAAAGACTAGTAATTTTAGTTCCTGAGCATTGAAATAAATTTGGTAACCTTTAATATACCACAGGTCTCTCTGTTCTTTAAAAAGTTCATGATTCTGTTTATTCTAGGAATGAAGTAAATTCTCAGTTGCTCAGAGATCATTAAATATATCTTCTGTATTTTGTTGACCTGCCTTTTGAGTATCAAATCAACGATGCTTCTGAGAGGTTACCCAAATGACATTAAAGCCATGCAAATAGTTTCTATAGCAACAGGTTCCCTTATCTCTGACGCAGTCTGTGTTCCCCTTCATTTATTTTTATCTTTTCTCTCTTTCTTTCTTGCTGTGCTCCTTGCTTTTATCCAGCATCACTTCCCTTGACTACAGGTAATCATGTTCCACCTGCAGCATCTTCTAAACCTTTCAACTCAAAAAGGACAGATACCTGATATGATTACCAGGTGTGGAGATTCCACATCCGTTTAGTTATGGGTTAAAAGAGATTGTGTCCATACAAAGATTTAAACTTGGATTAAACACTCAGCCAAGGACTTGTGTCTCTTCAAACAAGTTTTTTTGTGGTTTAGGAGCAATCCATTGGCCTAGATGTGACACCTATTTTGTCATATATGCAAATTCTTCTCCTTATCTATCAGACTTAGAGATATGCATAAGTAAATCTCCTGTGAAATAAATTATAAAGTTGGATTGTAAAATAAATTGCAAATGTAGCAATTAAAGGCAAAAGACTGAATCTGTGATAATTTGGTCAATCTTAAATTTATGTAAGATGAGGCCAATTTTCTTTAATGACAGCAGCAACAATATACAAAATAGTCATCATCCTAGACTAACATCTGTTCAGATCATATTGGTAGAAATGGCAAAAGAAAATTAAGTAATCATATATAGACACAAATCTTGTTGAAGGAAAGTTAGCTTGATTCTGCAAAATAAATCCTGCCCTGCCAACAACTTTCTTTTTTTTTTTTGAGAGAGAGTGTCAGCTGGCACCTGGATGGAGGAGATCCCATCAATCATATAGACTTGGATTTTCTGTTCATTAAGTTCTTCCTCAAGGATCTTGAGTAAATATAATAGTTATGGGTTGAGAAAGTATATGTCTCTCTATGGATTGCAATCTAGTTAAAATAGAAAGCAATGCATAAATGGGCAATTTTATGGGAAATATGAAGTGAATTGCCTAAAAGCTGTGTACTTGGACCAGTGCTTTTTAATTTGTTCATACAGGTTCTTTAGGGATAAGCAGTAAGCTAAGAATTATTGTTCATAATACCAGGAAGGTGATGATGTAGTTACAACAGGGCATTTTTGTGTTGAGGATTATTAGGAAAGGAATTGAAATTAAAAATGCCAACACTGTAATGCCCTTTTGTAAGTTTGAGAAGGTGCATTTGGAGTGCTATGTACAGTTCTGTTCACAGATTTGAAAAAGAATATGGAACAAGTGAAGAAGAGCACCTCAAAGGATTGAAGGATTGAAACACCTTGTAAAAAAGGTGGAATGTCTGTAATTCTTTAGCTTGGAAAATGACAATGGAGAGAAATTTTTCTTCCTCCCTTAAATCAAAGGACCAGGGGTTCTTTGAGGCTCTCCAAAGGAGACCAAACAAACTCATCTTATTACTATGGAATTTATTACCAAAAGAGGTGGAGATGGTTTCTAGTTTGGAGGGCTTTGAAATGAGAGTGGATAAATTCATGGAAGACTGATTCATCTGGAGTTTTAATTCTTTGATTCAATTTTATTTTGATGTTGGGGACAGAATAATGGGACAAAGATATGTCTCAGTCTCCTCCTTCAGCACACCAGAAGCATCTGCATGGCCATTGTGAAAAATAAATTGTTGGACTGGTCTTGTCCTGGCCAGCAGTGCTATATTTTTATGTTTTCTCTCACAAAAACTACTACATGAGGTAGGCTGGAGAGAGAATGACTAGCTCAAAGATACCTAAAGAAGTTTGCAAGTAAGTAGGGAGTTGATATGGATCTCCTTAGTGCAGGGCTGTCAAACTCATGGACCGCGGGCAGGATGCATCATTCAATGGCCATGCCCACGCATAGTTTAACGAAGGGGGAAAAGTTGTGATACATCCTGTAATGCTACTGTGATACTGCAAGTTTGACACCCCTGCTTTAGAACAAGCTCATCATGAATATCTTAACTATGCCACACAGCCAGGATCCTATATTATTTTTTGAAGTGGCAAATGCTGACATTTAGATCAACAGATCAAATATTCTGGGTGATTTGAAATATTTTTACTGGCTTTTTTAACAATATACAGTAGATGAATGTCACCTCTTTTTAAAATTTGGTATAGAGACTCATAGCAATAGTTAGTGGAACTTGTTCTGTTGACCTCTACTCAGAAGTGTAAAGCTAATTGAATTCAGTGGGATTAATGCTCAGGAAAGTGTTGTATAGTTGTAGCATCTGTGATCCTATACATCAGCCTTCCCCCTACCAGATGCTGCATACATGACGAACGTCAGCTTCCATAATCATCCAGCCAACATAGACAAGAAAACTGCCTGGATGTAATCAACCAGGAGTCAAACTTGATTTAAAGGGGTGTTTACTATTTAGGGGCAAAATGTTTTATTACCTAAAACCTATGCAACTTTTCCATAGCAGCCTCATTCTTGAAACAAAGCTTTTGGCACGCCTAATGTGTCCATTGCATTAACAGTGTTGTGCTTTCCTCATAGTTGAAAAAGGCATTTACAAAAATCAAGAAATATGACATTGCTGTGGTGAATACAGATTGCATTATTCTGGGAAGCAAATCTAAAAATTAGTAGAGCTGCTTGGTGGGTTGAGTGAGCTAATCCAGATAATTCCTCCATGCACTTGCTATTGGAATAATAGATTCATATCCTGAACTACATTTTTTTTTTATCCCGAGAAACCAGATTATTGCTGGGTTGCATGTAACCCATGACTTGAATGGCATCACTCCTGAGATTAGTGGTTGCCTCACATTCTATTGCCTGGGCTGAACTTAGGAGGAGAACTTGTTAATACGTAGAGATTTTGGTGGAGGCAAATGACTTATTGGAAGGGAAGGGCTGAAAAACTCAACTGAGTCACAGCTGCTCTTTTGAGCCTTTTTGTTGGAACAATATTTTATCTTTCCTCTCCCCTCTGCCCTCATCCCTTGTTTACATGCCTGGCTTCCTTAAGACCTTGCCAATGATGGACAGTACGTAACAAAACAGTTGTGTGCCTCTAAACTCTGGTTGTCAGGGATACCTGCGTCTGTCTAGCAGCACACAGGAAATTAAAACCACCCCTGATAGCATATCTCGCCTGGCCTAAAGGGCAGTTCATTGGTATATGTGTCTGTGTTCATAACTGGAAGGGATATATCTCAGCAGAAGCCAGAAAAGGAAAAGTGGCTGGCATGGATGTTGATTTTGTTTATATTAGCTTTTTGGTCACCTGAAGATGAGAAGGAAACTTTTCATGGCATCAAATCCCTTGCCTTTATTCAGATCAATTCTTAAAAATATCTAGAAGTGTGAAAAAATGTAACATGAGGCTAAGTTACACTTTTATTTATAGCCTATCTTTCTATTCCCTTTTCTTTTTTATCCCAACTGCTTTGGATGAATAAACTGGTAATATAATAAATTATAGGAAATATTTTATGTTATGACTACCATATTAACTAAGTTTCAGGTTGCTGTTATATAAGTTTCCATAATATATGGAAAGGTTATGATTGTTCAAATTTTTAATAGAGGAGAATGAATACAGAGATATCTTTACATTATAGTCAACAAGATCCTTGCAAAGTTGAGTTCCAAACTTGACGATCCATGTCTTAAGTCTGGGTTCACATACTAAGCCATTAAGTTATTAGTTTGGACCAGGTGAATTTCATATGAACTCCATCATGATAATGTAACCTTAAAATGTGGTTAACTGTGGTTTTCTTTGCACATGGTTTGACTAACTCCAGGGCCAGTTTGGCTACTATAAATTAAGTCTAGACATTTTAGAATTTGGGAATAAAAGCTGCAGGTTCAAAGAGTAAATCCTTGCCAGTTGGAAAAATATTTCTGCTACAGAATTACTGATGCATAAGATATGTATCTTCATAAAGTCTTGCTTTTAAAAACAAATATAAATATAAAATGTTGGTTCTCAGTTATGTAACATTGTAATTTGGATGATGAATTTGCACTTTCTGTTTTTAATTTTGTTCATTTTCCATGTATAATGTACACCTCTTTGAAATCCATGTTTGGATAATGGTATAGCCTACACATTCAAATAAAACAATGTAGAAGGAAAATGACAAGTAATAGTTGCATTGTATATACCTCTCTTGATTTCAGATGTACTCAACGATGCCATATTTGATGAAGACCATGATGAGATGGTGATTGTGAAGGATATTGATATGTTTTCAATGTGTGAACATCACCTGGTTCCATTTATTGGAAAGGTAAACTTTTGATTTCCTTTTCTCCGCTATAAAGTAGAATCAATAGGCCAATCATTGTTAAATGCTTGATTTGCAAAACTATGCAAATCATCAACTTTTGCAAATCATAAAAAATGTGTTTAAAGGAAATGCATGTTGCATACAGAGCAATCAAGCCAGATGTTAGGACCATTAAACAAGGTATAAAATGTAAGGTGGGCAAAAGAAGCCCAACTGTTAACATCACAAGGTAGTGTTTCAAAGTGCAGCTTTTGGGGAGTCGTGAATAGGAAACCCAGTCCATAATTTATTTGTTGCTATTCAATTTTTAAATATGTTTCATTTATACTTATATGAAATAAATATCTTTATTTCATAAAGGAGCAGGTGTTCATGGCATTTAGTGCATCATCTCTCCAAATACCCTAATCAGTTGTCAAAGCTCTGTACCTTGACTGAGGTGACGTCAAAGGATTATTTACTACTCCATTCAGGCAGCAAAATGTTTTAAGCATATATGCTACCCAGTTTAATAAATAGAGAGTCCACTTATAACCATGAATGGATATGTAATAGATACGTCCATTTATTGTGTCTGGGTTTTTGTGTAATAAGTGCAGATTGAGTGTTTTGTCTTTTGGTCATTTTGATTGTATCCTGTGACTCAAAGAAGGGGGAGGCACAGCTGTTGGGAACAAAGGCTGAATGAATTAGTTAAAAAATTGATGTCACTTTGTTTGCTCCTTTAGAACAGTCATTTTATAGATCATTACTCAGTGCTAATAGCTACACTCATCTTCGCTTTATCTCAATATCTGCTCTTCTCATTCAACTTCGCATTTAACTAACTGCCTGCCTGCCTATTCAGTGGAAGTGGGAAGATTTAGCAATGATGGGTGTCTTGTGTTCTTTCAACAAGTAAAAATAAAGTAGAATCGGATCTGGAAGAATCACATTGTGTTGTGGCAATTCCAATCATATTTACTTTCTTAATAAAGAAAACTATGTTGGCCATAAAAAAATAATTCCAAAGTGATAGAACTATACTTTTATTGAGCTGATTGAAATGGGAATGAGAGCTGCATGTGGCAGGAATAACTTAAACTGGATGGATTTTTTATTTTTTCAAATTTTGGCTTGCATGTTCCTAGCAAAACCAGCCCATAATCATTTACAATTTCAATTTGCCTAAAATACTTTCAGTTAAAATAAGCAAACATATGAATCATGTAGCAAAGTAAATGTTACAATAAAACTTTACATCATGATATTAAAGCAGCTTTTAGTACATGATGTAATGTGTGCTTAAGCAAGTAAATACCTGCTTATGAAAGTAAGTTTTCAGGTTGTATTTCAAAGACATCAGAGGTTATGAAAGACTAAACAATGGGGAGAGAATTCATTGGCATTGGATCTGGTACAACTCAGGTCTTGGTCTTAGATGATTCCAGCTCACCCTTAGTGGATGAGTACAACTCCCAGTTAGTGACATGGGAAATGTTAAAAGAAGTATTTTGAAACTGAGCCAGGGTGATTTTATTTTCTTCTAGGGAGAGACACATGATAGAAGCCAGGCCACCAGGCATGCTGCTGCTGCTGAAATGTGTTCAATGATGCCATTGTGCAAATGCTGATCTGATATATTTGTGACCATTATTTGTTTGATTACATAAGGGGGGTCCTTGGTGCTCTCTGAACTTGGTTGGGGTTTTTTTCAGAGGTTTCATTACCAAACTAGGTAACATCATCAGTGCTAGTAGCGAGTGTGATTTGCTCTTATTTTATATACTAGTAGCTGCTCTAGTATATAAAATGAGAGCAAACCCCCACTTCCTTCTAACACTGATTGCTTGGTATGGTAATAAAGCATCTGCATGAAAACAACCTATCTCAGAGAGGACCAAGGATCCTGAAGTTCAAATCTGAGCTACAAATATTCTCTTCTGTTGATTAGATAAGTTGCAGCATTTCCATGGAATCATTATGCATCTATTGTCATTTGCTGCTTCTTCCCACCCATCTTGATACTTATGATGGCACTGCCTAACTTCCAAGTATCCTTCTGAAGTATATTTCACACAAAAGTGCATTACAGTAATGTAAACTATTCAGGAGGTAATCAGAGCTTGGATTATAGAGGCCTATTAAAGTTGGGGGGAAAAGCTGATAAATGAAATGCCTCTCACCACCACACTTACCTGAGCACTCAAAGGAAATGTAGGGTTGACAAGCAGCCCAATTGTGTGCCTGGTCTTTTAGGGGGACTGCAACCCTATCCAGGACAGGCAAAAATCCTTGTGATTGGCCACCATCAACACTGGCCAGCAATCCTTAAAAAGTAAGTTCAGTGACTTAGTTAAGAGGTGTGTTTGTATAACAAAATAAGAACAGATAGTGCCATAAATGAATGGGTGCTGAATGAACATGGATTGAATACAAAAGTAATGACAAATACAAAAGCATATTGAATTAATTTGATCACAAAATAGATATATATAAAAAAGTGAATTTGCTGAGAGGAAAGAAAAGACTGTAGTTGGATGGAGCTGATGAGAACCTGACTAAGAGCAAAGTGAGAAATTTAAAGAACAAAAGGAAATATTGGTAGTCCTTGCTTAACAATAGTAATTCGGACCAGCAACTCCACACTTAAATGAAAAAGTTGTTAAGCGCAAGCCATAACTATAAGTCTCCTTGTTCAGCACTAACATAACTTCAAACAGTTGTTGAATGAGTGGTCGCTGAACGAGGATTACCTGTATATGAACGTGGATATGGAGTATGATGGAAACAAGGATGTTTTGTGAGTCTGGAAATATGAGGCTAGAGGTGTAGTGAATGATGCTGATTTCTTTTTCTTCTTCCTTTAGCTTCTTTTTCTTAACAACTTCTTAATCTTTTTTCTGTAATTTGCATAATGTTGTTTACCACTAAAAGTATTAGATCAGCATATAATTTATATATGTATACAGGAGATGAGGAATGCAAGCTTTAGAATTTCAACTAATCTTTGTCAGAGAAGCTGGCCAGAAAAAAGGAAGAGGGAAGGAAAATTGTGTGAGCGGGTGAGTGGGTGGGTGGGTTGGACTAGATGACTTCCAGGGTCCCTTCCAACTCTGTTATTGTTACTGTAACTGATGTCAGACTCAAGTCTATTATTTTTAGACTTGAGAGTATTATAGAGTACATTATTAGAAGGGAGTCCTTTCAAACATGCAAATTGAATCTTATCTGGTGCAGAATAATGTTATATGCTATGTTATGTTATATACTATGTTATATAAGATGTCATGTTATTGTTATGTCATGTTTTATGTTATGTTATACCATGCTAGGGGCTGTCGTTCAGGGCTTCCTGAACAGAAGAAATACCAATAAATGTATTGCTTCTATGCGTTTTGGATATACTGATGTGTTCCTTTTAATTTAATTCAGGTTTTAAAAAGTTTACAGGTTCAGTTATTTATAAAGACATGAAGCTTCAGGAAGTTGACAAAAGAGAAACAAGGGTGGATTGAAATCAAACTCCAACTTGCTTGTTGGACTCTATAGGCTTTTAGTGAATGAATAGAACATGCTGGGGTCAAGGCTATCTAACATTCACAGCAAACCTTCAAAGCACAATGTTCACCTTTCTTTAGCAAGGGCCCTGTCAGTTTCCTTCTTGCTTCAATCACATTGCACCCAGCCTGGATTTCTATCCTAACAGTTTCTGACATTTCATTTCAAAGCCCTTTGTGTAATACTCCTGGCGGCACACCTTGCGGGCAGAGATCTCTGTATTAAATTTGATCATCACAGACATAAGCTTTGACTTCTTCTGGGTCACAAGAGACCCATTTGAAAATGCCCTTGGCCTATTGCAGCACAGTAAGAACAATTTTTCTACTTACCTTTACTTTCTCCATTTCTCCTCTCCATTCCTTTCAAAGGGGAACCTTTTCATATCCATGTAGCCTAGCTAGGCAAAATTCTGAATGCTGATACTGTCTGATCGAATGGACTCAAGAGTCCCTTCTCCACTTATTACTAAAAATACTGATTAAAAAGTATGTAGCTTTAAACCAGGAGAAGCTAGTTGTTAAATGGTCAAAGGCCACCTTGGGTGGAACAGTAATGGGTCAGGCTTTTTGGAAGAGAGTTTTGGAGATTGTCTTTGATTTTAAAGATTATGCTTGGCTTATTTTACAGTTTCCTCCATAGTTTTGATGGATTTCCAACCTTATAAATTCCAGGAAACTGTGTTTCATTTCTTTATAATTATAATCAGGAAGGATTTCAACAAGGGATAACTTCTGTCCTGACTTTGCTCCAGCAAAGTTTAGTTTAGAAGCTAAACAGGGTTGGGACTGGTCAATATTTGGAAGGGAGATTACATGTGTCCATTTAGGTACCAGGAGTCAAGCTCAAAAGTTAAGAGTTAGAAAACTTTGAAGGCTGGTTACAAAGCGACTTTTGAAGGCCACGTATTTCAAGATCTCAAGACATACATCATTGACTTGAACTGATGTTGCCCTTTTTCTGTTGCATTGTATTTCATAAGAAACTTTAGTGTATACTGTTTTCTCCCAGTTTTCCTCTGTAGGGAAAATTAAATTCTGCGAATGGCTTTTTTCCCTTCTTAAATAAAAACAATAAGAAATATTTGTGAACATATTACATGAAGCATATAATATAGAAAGTACAGACAAGTCATTGTATATTGTGTCATTAACAGGCAGATATTCCATAGGTGTGGCTTGCCCTGAGAGGGAAAAAGTGCCAATACACTTAAATTCAGATTCTGAATTTAAAGATCTTCAAAGCCAGTAGTATCTGTGTATACTAATGTATATTAAGGTAAAGGTAAAGGTTTCTTCTGTCCAGTCTAGGGAGCGGTGCTCATTTTCATTTCTTATCCAAGGGAGCCAGTGTTGTTTGAAGACTCTTCCATGGTCATGGAACACTGTTATCTACCCACTGAAGTGGTACCTGTTTATCTACTTGCATTTGCATGCTTTTGAACTGCTAGGTAGGCAGGAGCTGGGGCAAGTAATTGGAGCTCACCTTGTTACGCAGCATTCATATCTTGAATCCGAGCTGTCAGCTTTCCAGCCTACAAGCCCAGCTTCTTAACTGTTGAACCATCATGTCCCCTATATATATTATTACTTCTTAATTATCTTATTATGTGATGATTTGTTTCCTTTTCTTTCAAATGGAATAAGTTCTGCTATGTTATTCTTATTCTGCTGAGTGAGATATTGGTTTTAAAATCCTAGTTCTACAGTGTTAGACTTAGAATTTATTGTTCACATATTATTTTCACATACTGTTCTTTCCAGAAAATTAGATGTTACTGGTATTGTTCCAAAGAATGTCTTATGACACAGACTATGGTAACCTTCTATGCCAACTCCTCAAATAACTTGATTTCTAGGCGTCTTATTTCTCTTTTTTAGGATCACAAAGGCAGTCTCATGGACAGTCAACTTAAAAGAAATACACATAAAGAATTTATAGGCCAGATTTCTAATCAATGGTTTTGCTTGGGCTAGTATGACTTGGCACAATGGCTCAACATTGTATCTTCTGGCATATTTGGGTTGAGAAGATCATTCTCTTCACTTTCCCTCCCTTATTAGATAAAATTTAACAATCTCTACTTCTCTGCATTCTAACTACATGATATGGCTCTTCTATATATATTTGATGTTTAATTTTTAATGCTTATCAGCTAATTAGAGAAGCTAATTGTCATTTGTTTTGCTAAACTAACTAATGACTTCTATGGAGTGCTAGACAGTGATTTTATACTGATGCTCTTTAATTGGGGCTTCAATTCCCAAATTCCTTAGCAATTCTGGGAGTCCAGACCCTAGACACGAAGAGCCATGGATTAGAGAAGTGTATCATGGTCTGAGATTAACCCTTTCAACATCATTTTTCCCAGAACCATAGAAATTCAATAAGGGTAATCAGGATTCTCTTTTTATTCTTGTGTTAAATAGATCAAAGTGTTATACTCTTTACTGGGTAGAATGGAAAACATATACCAAACCCAAACGTCTTCAGCTTTTTTAGCCCTAAGATTTGAGCTATAATTCCTATTAGCATGAGAAGCATAGACAATGGGAGTTAGTCTCTCAAACTTGCAGGGCATTAGATATGGGAAAATTGGAGCAATATGTGCCTGACTTAAAACCAGCCAAAATTGCTCTATTGCTCCCTAATTCCTGGAGGGTTAGTTGTGCCTGTAGATATCCATGAATCCTTATTCTTATGTGCTTTGAACAACTGAGTTATCTCTGAAATCCTTTGCAGCTAAATGGAGGGAATCATTAGCCTTGCCCCTAATTGGTGAGCATCATTTGTTATCCAGGGCTGCAGGATTAAAGGGCCACATCACATAGCAGATAGGGCAAAAGCAGTAGTATTAGGGCCACAGCCAAAAATGGATAAGGTCACTCATTTTCCTCTTTTTGGCATACTCTTCTTTCTTATTTAAGCCATCTTTTTTTTCCTTGGTTGCTGAACAGTGGAACAGATTGTTCTTGTTAGAAGTCTAAACAGAGGCCAAAGGTTGCAGGTAGCTGTAAGGTCTGAAGCAACCCACTTCTGCCTTCAGCCATCTCTTTGCTTCATTTGTTGTTTCTGAGGTTGTTTGCCTTCTGCATTTCCCATTTTTGCAACCTGTCTTTATCAGATTTGGTAACCTGTCCATAAATATAATGAGCTACTAAAGAAAGCGTTTTTTCCTGGGCTACCAGCTCATATGCGCCTCATTTAGTCATGTGATAGGAAGTGTATAATAATGTATCCCACTTATTTTTGATTTAGCAGATTTTCAACAAATTGATCTCAAGTTAGGAAATATTTCCATACTTTCACTGCTATCTTTAGGACTTACGTATTCTTGGTTTTTTCAGTAAGCTTAATAAATACTAAAGCGTGAAAGATTTCTGATTGCATCTTCTATTCTTTACAGGAAAGAAAGGAAAAAAGTGGGAAGTGAGTTCACAAGCATGTTGGATTTCTCTTTATCCTTGACCTTTTAAAACTTACTCAGCTGCATGCATGTTTGCTCCACTCACCAATTTTTAAAACGTCACTTTCTGGGTCACGTGTGACATGGCATGGGTGCACATGCATGAATCTCCTAGGTCAATAAGTCCTAAGCTTTGTTTAATGACTTGTTCTCTTTCTTGCCTAGGTGCATATAGGTTACCTTCCCAACAAACAAGTCCTTGGGCTCAGCAAGCTTGCAAGGTAAGAAAAACAAATGCTTAAAAGTAATGTAAGTTATTTAACTGCAGGTAACCAAAGTAAAACTAGTATGGCATGGTTAAAAGCATTGGGTTAGAGAGCAGGAGGTGGTGAGTTCTAATCCTGCCTTAGGCACAAAGCTAGCTGGGTAATTTTGGGACAGTCATTTTTTTTTAACCCCAAGATAAAGGTAATGGCAACAGCAACTCACTTCCAACGATGTTGTCAAGAAAAGTGCATGATTTTGCTCATATAGTCACCAGGAGTCTAAACTGACCTGAGGGAGATAAAGATATAGAGACAGAAGTAGAGATAAAGTAAGGGAAATGATTCCCAGATTCAATTATATGCAAAATGTTGAGCAATTTAATTCAGTTGTACTTTAGGTTCCAGTAAACTAGTCTCACCAGAAGAGAGGGGGAAGGGTCATAATGTAAAAGAGAGTGAGGAGGGTTGGTGTTTTGGACCATCAATGGCTGAAGATGATTGATAGAGATGTTTAAAAAAAAAACAAATTAAATTTGGTTCTGGGGAAGTGAAGAGCTGTAATTGTGGTGATTTTAGATTTCAGCTCTATTAGAATTGTGAATTGAGGACCAGTATCTTTAAGGGTCTCACATGGGAAAGCCCAAGCCTCATATTTGATTCCCAAGATCGATAATAAAATGCAGGTGGATCCGTTGCTGTTTTACTGTGGAGAGGAGGAATCCCCTCACCACAGATAGAAGCTTTAGGAGAAGAGGACTGGTTCCCTAGGCAGAAAATCCTTGATTAGCACCTAGTTGAGGAAAATGCCTGGGGGAGGGGGGAAAGAGAGATAAATAAGAATAATTCTATTCTTAAACTCCCTTCCAAAATGGGTCTTGGTTCTATTTAATCTTTCAATATGCCTCCAATATGCTACGTGATAATGATATGTCTTCAAGCCAATGGTAAACTGCCTACATACAATATCTGTCTAGATAGCCCATGCCAGTAAATAGAAATGATCTGAGTAATAATCATTAAAGAGTCAGTTTGATGCAGTGGTTAAAGGCTGCAGGCTAGAATCTAGAGGCTGTGAGTTCTACTTCTGTCTTACACATAAAAATCAATTGAGTGATTTTGGACCAATTACAGTGATTTCATATCAGAGAGGGTTCACATTTGAGGTACCAGAGCCTTGCTAGTCTTTATGAAAATCCTTGGGAGAGTGACTTGTTTAATGCCTTGGAAATGGTAGAAATAGAACTTTAACCTGTCAATTCAAGATCTGATGTTTAACTTTGTCTGGGGTAAACAGCTCCAGCTTACCTAGTTTGGTAATGAAACGTCTGCAAGTAAACCACCAAGCTCAGACCTCACTAAGGACCTCACATTCCAGCTGTATTGATCAGTGGTGGGTTGCCCTTGGTTTGCACCGGTTCTATAGAACCGGTAGTAAAACTGGTGGGAGGCTCCTCCCACTGACCCTGATGTCATCAAAATGCTTCTGCAGTTGCGCAGAAGAGCACGCGTGGCCCCATTGCAAACCGGTAGTAAAGGTAAGTAGAACCCACCCCTGGTATTGATTCAGATATCTAAAATGGAGCTAAACTAACCATGCCTTCTTTATTTCCTTGCTAAATATGTCATGATTAATTCAAGCAGGAAGAGTTCTAATTAATAACATTGCCCATGGTTGGTTATCGGTTTATAAAAAATAAGAAACTACTTTATGCCAATTCATACTACCTAGTCCAATGTTGTTAACACTGAATTACAGAAATTCTTGGGCATTTCAGAGATGTTTTTAGCTTCTCTGTTTAGACGGGGTTGTTCATAAAAGTAGGTGGTCAGATTTAAGATGGGAGTAAAAATAATTCTTACAGAAGAATACAAGATAATGTTTCTTAGCATCCAGATGATAAGCAGGGAAGGCATTTTTTGAAATACTAAATCCTCCATTCACAGTTTAGTCTGACGAAATTTGTTTTCTCTCTACAATGACCTTCTGTTTTAATCATCTCAGTTAAATTTGACCATACGTGCTTCATGGTATCCTGCAGGGATCAAGAACTATACAAGCATAAGAAGTTGTGATTCAGTTTTTTGGAAGTATTCATCTGTCTCATAAATATCACATAGCTTGGAGGCAAACTACATTTTAATCGGAAGAATGGCCATTTTATTGGAAAATTAACTTTCCTAATGTACTACAAGACCATAACTACGTTGGGTTGAGATAGAGTGATTGGTTCAAGGTCACACAGTGAGGTTTTGTGGTTGAAAATTAACTACAACTAGGTCTCTTTGCTCCTAGTCCAACACATTAATCACAACTCCACACTGGTGCATGTCTTAGAGACAACTTGCAGATCCACCACTGTGGAGTGAGCAGATTGTATACCTAGGTGGGCGATCAAGGAGTGAATAGGAACCCATTTGTTACCATATAATTGCAAGAAACTTGGCAAGGGATTTTGCAGTTCCTTTTTGCTGGTTGTGCATCTCCCATCTCCTCTGATAAGACACAGACTTCTTCTGCAGAAAAAGCGGCAGATTTAAGGACAATCTCAGATTCCTTTTTCTCCCTGCATAGAAAAGCCATTCCACAAGAGGCTAATCGATCTTATTTTCCCCCTATCCTTGTGCACAAACATTTTGCATTAATAAGAAAAACAGAGTTCTCCCCATGACCCCCTCAGAATCCCATCTATATTGAACCCTGATTTAATGTTCAAGTCAGATTCCTTGAAGGTGACAGTTTTTGACTCTCAAATAACAAGTCCTGGACATCATAGATGCTGCAAAAAGCAAGCACTTACCGGCATTTCACTAAATGAGTACAGGTAATCCTCGACTTACAACCAAAATTGAGCTCAAAACTTATGTTCCTAAGTGAGGCATTTGTTAAATGAGTTTTACCTTATTTTATGACCTTTCTTGCCACATTTCTTAAGTGAATCACTATGATAGTTAAGTTAGTAACACGGTTGTTAAGTGAATCTGGAATCACCATTGACTTTGCTTGTCAGAGGGTCACAAAAGGTGATCACATGACCCCGGACACTGTAATCGTCATAAATATGAGTCAGTTGACAAGCATCTGAATTTTGATCATGTGGCCATGGGGGATGCTGCACGGTAGTAAGTGTGAAAATGGTCGTAAGTCACTTTTTTTCGTGCAGTTGTAACTTCGAATGGTCACTAAGTGAACTGTTGTAAGTCGAGGACTACCTGTAGATACTGTGCGAAGCTCAGATAACTGAAAATGAAACTAGGTTAGAAATTGGCATAGGTAAATCTATCATTGAGTGTGTGTATATAGGTTACATCTACAATTATTTTCATTTTAAGCCGTGGGGATGATGCAATTGAGGAAGTGAAACTAGGGGAGGTAACATTTAACTTTTCCCAGCAATGTCTTCATTAACTAAATTCCCTCTTTTGGACCCATATGTTTATGCACCATTGAGATATGGAGGTATATTTTCCAGCTGGTGGCTTTGAGGATAGTAGAGAAGTTTGGTTAGGAAACTAGTATGGCTTCATTGCTTATTTGTACCCTATGACTATCATTAAGTGTTGTACCTTATAATTCTTGACGAATGTATCTTTTCTTTTGTGTACACTGAGAGCATATACACCAAAGACAAATTCCTTGTGTGTCCAGTCACACTTGGCCAATAAAAAAAATTCTATCTATCTATCTACCTGTTGAGAGAGTGTTAAAAATCCTCTTTCCCAGTTCTGGCCTTTCTGACTGCTCTACCATTCCCCTCCTGTTACTTTAAGCTAAACATTCTATTATTTGATTGAATTAAGACGTGTTGGCAGGAGAGAATGCATAAAAACTCTAAATAAAGGGACGGGTTTCCCCTACACTCAAAATTAGTTTAAAATGAGGTTGGGTATAGTTTGTGACCCTGGGATTGTAGTCATTGTCACAACATGTTGAATAAACCAGGCTAGCAAGCCAAGCCATAATGTGATTTGTCTGGGCAATAATATGCTATGTGATTACAGGATTATTAGTCCAAATTTAGGCTTTAGGACCATGATGGCGAACCTATAGCATGTGTGTCACAGGTGGCACACAGAGCCTTCTCTGCAGACACACCAGCTGTTGCCCCAGCTCAACTCTACCATCCATGCACGTGCACCAGCTGGTCTTCACGTTTCTGCCGCGCATGCGTGGGGAGCATGCGTGTGGGGGGGGTGCAGGAGGCTTTCCAGGCGCAAAACAGGGCACAGGGGGCCTCATGCAGCATTCCCATGCCCCGTTTTGTCTTCCAGGTTGGTGCAGGAGGCTTTCCAGGGCCAAAACTGGGTGGGAGGCACCCCGTTTTGGGCCTGGAAAACCTCCTGCACCAACCTGGAAGCCAAAATGGTGCATGGGGGGGGCGCATGCGCACGGGACACATGCATATGCATGGGGGCATACGCATATGTGCAGGGCAGGTGCATACATGGGGGGCCCTTACATTCATTTTGGAGCTTCGGGCATGCACGCATGTATTTGCGCGAGCACATGCTCGCTTTGGGCACCCGGCACCAAAAAGGTTAACCATCACTGCTTTAGGATGTTGTATGAACTCTTTTTTTTTTTTTTAATTTGATTTATATGCCACCCTTCTCCGGAGACTCAGGGCGGCTTACAATGCGTTAAGCAATAGCCTTCATACTTTTTGTATATTTATACAAAGTCAGCTTATTGCCCCCACAATCCGGGTCCTCATTTTACCTACCTTAGAAAGGATGGAAGGCTGAGTCAACCTTGAGCCTGGTGAGATTTGAACTTGCAGTAATTGCAGGCAGCTGATGTTAATAACAGTGCTTTAGTCTGCTGCGCCACCAGGGCTCTTTCACTGGGGTGGTAATTGTCAAATAGACTGAAAGTGCATTGGATTTATATATGTACTCTGCAGTTCATGTAGGTCAGCAGCATGTTTCCGTCCTGAACTTTGCCTTCTCCTCTTGCACAGAGTAGCAGAAGGAGGAGGGCACTCAGGAAACAAGACGGGCTTTTAGTGGGAACCAGTCTGCTAAACCTGGATAGCTTCCTCTCCCCCATGTCTTGCTCCTTGATTGAGGAAACGGGAATGAAAAGAGCAAAGACGAATATTAGGAGTGGGAAAACGAGCAGTACATTCTACCGAGTCTTTGTAGGAATGATGCAGGTTAATTTTTGCTGATTTATTTCTCTATCAAATTTGTGTACCACCAATTTCATTTTTATTCAGGGCTGTCCCATCTGCAGAGTGAAATTGTAGAGCTCACAAAAGCATGTGAAAGGAAATAAGTACTATCCCCCTCTGAAGGAGTATTTTTTGGCGATTTTAAAGCTTCCAGCAAACCAAAGTTGAGTTGTACAACGACGACAACAGCAATCATAATAATTAATATTAATTATTAAATTTATATGCTGCCTGGCTCGGAGTGACTTTGGGCAGTTTACAAATTTGTAAACTTGTAAAAATTTGTAAAACATTTTAGAGGCATATGCAATTGCATATGGAGAAAAAGGATATGTGGAGAAATACATGTTATCAGGAAAAGAAATTCCCCTCCGCTTTTTTTCCCTATCAGTTGCTTTTGGAATCAGTTTTGGAAATTCTTTCCAAGCAAAGAAGACTACAGTCTTTGTCCATCTTGGCATTTGTATTAACTACCTGTATCTTCCTTGGTAGAATGATAGCAACTGATGTTGAATATCTAATATCTTATTATATTAATATCTAATACATGCTTGACAAAATAAATAAAATAACTAAACTAAACTAAACTAAACTAAACTAAACTAAACTAAACTAAACTAAACTAAACTAAACTAAACTAAACTAAACTAAACTAAACTAAACTGTTGGGAATCCCCAAAAGCCGTGAATAGGAGTTCCTAGATCACACTATGGTTATATAATATAGAAAGAATGAGCTACATTTATCACCATATTGTTAAGATGATCTTGGACTATATTGGCTGATCCAGCCAGGTTGCCTGTGGTTAGTTCTTGTCGTATGACGATAATTGGAATGGAACGTCCGTCATTAAGCAATAAGGTTTTAAGTGAGTTGCACCTGATTTCACAACTGCTTTTTTGACCACTGTTGTTAAACAAATCCAGCTACCCCTATTGGCTTTGCTTTTTGGTAGCCCCTGGGAGGGTTGGAAGTGGCGATCATGTGACCCCCAGAATGTTGCGACCATTGTAAATACATGCCTGTGGCCAACCACCTGAATTTTGATGATGTGATCTGTTGAAGATCTTCTGCTTCTTACATTGATGGAAACCTTCTGGAACTCTGACATTTGTGATTCGCTTGCCTCACATCTATTGACTTACACAAGGGCTGCTTGTGTAATAATTGGCGTCTTTTATCTGCCTGCGTTAGTAAATGTTGAAAATATTACATGGTGCCTCATCCATCTTAATTTGTTTTTCATCTGGGGGGATTTATTTGAACTCTGTTATCAGCCTTTTGTTTTTGATGGCATTGGCAGGACAAATCACTGGATTAGTATTGCTAGGGTGGCCCCCCAATTATCTCTAAATTGTAGCAGCAGAGTAAGGACTTTAATGTTGATCTGTCATTCACATCTGATGATTTTCTTTCTGTCTGTGAATCACGGCAAGCATCGTTTTCTTTCCCTGTTTACAAATCAATACATTGCTGAAGTTAATGGTAAAGGAAGTTGAATCTCTGTGAGGAGCTGCTTCTTATCTTGTATCAGTGGAGGAGGCTAGACATTTGCATATAAAGAAGGTTTGTACTTATTCTGTTGCCAAAAAGGTAGAAAATTTATCTCTAAACCAAGAAGATAAGATTTGCATGCAATTTGCATTTAGAAACCATTAGCAATACATCTTACCAAACTGATTTCATTAGCAATACATCTTACCAAACTGAGAAAAACAGTGTTGAAATAATCTTGCACCTTGTGCTCAGTCTGCAGTTTCCAGGAGTTGTGACCCATTGATAGGCAATTTTGTTAACTTTTGTTATATATTGAGGACTGTCTTGTATAATGTTGGACAGATGGACACCCAGATTTTGTCACTCTTAAGATTTCATTAACTGTTATTAATGTTTATGCATCAGCAGCTTTTTGAAAGAATGTGCTTTTTCTTGGGGAGATGAAACTCAAGAATGAAATATAAGAGTTGAAGAGTATAAGTCAGTGTTTCTCAACCTTGGTAGCTTGAAGATGGGTGGACTTCAACTCCCAGTGCTGGCTGGGGGATTCTGGGAGTTGAAGTCCACCCATCTTCAAGCTTCCAAGGTTGAGAAACACTGTTATAAGTTATAGAATAGGAATAAACCAGAAAGTGACAGTGGGTGTGAAGGAAGTGCACATAGGTATTGAGGTCCCGGAGTATTTCAACAGGAACAAAAGTGAAGTACTTAGTAGTCCAGGGCATAAAATAAATTGATAGGGACTTTATTGGGCTGACATACATGTGAAAGGCATCTCAATAACTTTGCAGGTCATAAGCATTACACAAGCTAATAGTATGACACAGCTGCAAAAGAAGCAGAAGTTATACTAGGCTACGCCAACACAAGTATAATATCAAGATGAAGAGAAGTTATTATTTTTATCTATTCAGTATTGGTAAGTCTGCCTCTAGAATATTGTATTCAGTTCTGGACGCGATATTTTAGAAAGGATATTGATAAACTAATGTATCCAGAGGACAGCAACTAAGATGATAAGAAAAGCTTATAAGAAAATCTTATGGGAATATTTGGAAGTATTGGGTAGAAGAGAATAACAGAGTTGGAAGGGACATGGAGGTCTTCTAGTCCAACCCCCTGCTTAGGCAGGAAACTCTACACCACTTTAGACAGATGGTTATCTAATCTCTTCTTAAAAACTTCCAGTGTTGGAGCATTTACAACTTCTGGAGGCAAGTTGTTCCACTGATTAATTGTTCTAACTGTCAGGAAATTTCTCCTTGGTTCTAGGTTGCTTCTCTCCTTGATTAGTTTCCACGCATTGCTTCTTGCCTCAGGTGCTTTGGAGAATAGCTTGAATCCCTCTTCTTTGTGGCAGCCCCTGAGATATTGGAACACTGCTATCATGTCACCTCTAGTCCTTCTTTTCATAAGACTAGACATATCCAGTTCCAGCAACCGTTCTTTATATGTTTTAGCCTCCAGTCCCCTAATCATCTCTGTTGCTCTTCTCTGCACTCTTTCTAGAATCTCCACATATATTTATATGTATATTTAGCTCAGAGAAGGGAAGACTGTAGGGAGCCATGATATCCATAACAGGTATCTTCCTAACATCTAAAGGGCTGTAGAAAACAGGAGAGAATTATTCTGAGAAGTTTCTACCATCAAGCAACTGAAGCCTGCTGGCAACCAGTTGGTGGAAACCTAGAGCAAAGCAGTTTCTAACCAAACCCAGTTGTTAATAAATGTTTTTTGAAATCCTTGTTTTGCTAGATTGGCAAGCTAGAAGAGATTGCTCCAGAAGCAAACTTGGTCAAGAAGCAAACTTGGCCAGCCCACTAAGGAGCACTTCTTATTATGGCTGTTGGCCAAACATAATCTCCCAGATCAAGAAAGCCAATTGCATCTACTGTATTTCACAGGTGGCCTGAAGCATGACCTTAATTCTTCTATTACAAGAATCAGGGTTTAGGAGAGCTTACGTCTGGGAGCGTCTCATCCCACGTTGAGACTTGCATGGCCAGTTCTGTCATTTCTATCTCAGGATACTTTATTAGTAGATCCCTTGTGCTAAAATTTCTCATGACACGATAGTGTAGTTTGCAGGTCTTGAAAAAAGAGTGAAAATTAGCATAAAACAAAAGCATCTAGCCCATCCCATTTGTTTAAACTGTAACAATGAAAAGGATTGCTTATTTTCATATCCTCCTGTTTTTTGGATCACCCCAGGTTCTCTCTGTGCAAAGCTCTCTGGTTGCCAGTGCAGGCAAATGCAGGCTGGATTCTGGCAGATCAAGGAGGCTGAATTGGTGATTGGAGTGGTCTCTCAGAGATTTCCATCTTAAGAAGTACATTTCAAAACTACAGGGCCAGGACGTCTACTGAACAAGTGTAATAGAACAAAGTAGGGGGCTCATCCTGTGTTGTTAAACCCTGCAAATCCCAGCAAGTGATTCAGTGATGAAAGAAGATGCTAGAAAAGTGGAGGATTACATCCCTGTATTAAAATACACTGTTGAAGACCAGGCCTTCGCTAACTCAAAATTTTGGTAAAATACCCAAAATTGAGTAAATGTGTTCACCCCCCCCCCACTTTTGGGTAATGATACACAAATCCATACCCATCACAACAGGGACATTTAAATTGACTTAAAGATTGCCATGGGTGCTAAAATATATTCAAAAAACTTCCCAAATATTCCCATTAAGACAACTGATGAAATTACCAGTACTAATTTGTTGAAATCACATAAAGATCACGCAGTGATACTGTTTTTATAATACGGAGAGTCCTCTAGTTATAACCATTTGTACAATATCCATTCGAAGTTCCAATGGTGCTGAAGGAAGGGACTTATGACTGATCCTCCAAGTTCACTAAAGTTTTCCTATATGTGGTTTTGTGTAATAAAGGAAAACGTTTGGGAAGTACTTATCATTAATTTGTTTCCAGGGTAATCTTAATGGAATTCATTGGTTGTTTTTCTCTTTCTAGGATTGTGGAAATATACAGTAGACGATTACAAGGCAAGTCACAATCTTTTGTGCTTCACCTAATGAAATGTATGTTTTGCCATTCTAATAGAATTTGCCATGCAATATCAAAGGGCTATTAATCAGCTGTTGTAATTAAAAAAAGAAGGCATGAATGTGCTGTGAACAATTTATTTCCGGTATATCCCACTACAAAGGAAATTCCGTAGTCATGGAGTTCGTTCATTCATTCATTCATTCAGCCACCCATCTCAGGAAGTTACTTTGGACAGCAAACAATAACAAAGAAAATAAGAACCATGGCAGGATATCAGCATGTTCATCAGTGAGAAGCATTCTAGCCTAGCTACAGTGGCACAGTGGTTAGAATGCAGTACTGCAGGCTACTTCGGCTTCCTGCCGGCTGCCTGCAATTTGGCAGTTCGGATCTCACCAGGCTCAAGGTTGACTCAGCCTTCCATCCTTCCGAAGTGGGTAAAATGAGGACCCAGATTGTTGGGGGCAATATGCTGACTCTGTAAACCACTTAGCGAGGGCTGTAAAGCACTGTGAAGCAGTATATAAGTGCTATTGCTATTGCTAGCTTCTAGATAAGCTAACTTTTTACTTGGAAGGATTTGTAAATATACATTATGTACAGAAAAATATATTTTGACCAGCCAATATTTATTGGCCAGCCAATAAATAGGTTCCCCTGCATTTCATCATGTATACAAACAGAGTAAACTTTGATGGAGAGGCCTGAACGGAAGCCAATAACAAATCTGCAGCCCAACCTCTCACCACGAAGTGGCTCTACATCCTCCAGGATCTTTTTCTGCTTTCATTTCAGGGGCCCCTGTCTCCAGGTGTAGGTAGTCCTTAACTTACGATCAATCGCTTAACAACTGTTTGACGTTATGACAAACCTGGAACAGATGCTTTATGGCCCATAAGCACTTCTGGCTGTTGTAAGATGTGCCACCACCATCCACCCAATCACGTGACCATATTTCGGCTGCTTGGCAACTTGTTCACCTTTATAACTGGTTGCAGTGTCCCATGGTCACATGACAACAACTTGAGACTTTTTTGTTGGTTTCCAACAAAAAATGCCTACTTGGAGGAATGGAATTTGCACTCATGGCTATGGTTTCCCTACCATGGTGATTTGCTTAATGACTGCAGCACAAATTTGAGTCTTGTGTGTAGATGCCTCAACTTACTACCATAATAGTGTATGATTACAAATCCTGTCCCAGTTGCAGTTGTAAGTCGAGGGCCACCTGGGCTGTGGTTTTTCCATATACAGAGGTCAGCACCTGCTTTTAAAAGGAGTAAGTGGAAAAGATATCAGGGTTCCCAGTAACATCCCCAATGAAAGAAAACTCGGAGGCTTGAGTTTCCTCAAAGTTACATTTTATTAGAGATGTCATATTGGGACATCTGGGAAAACCCGAATCTGACAGTTTCCAGGTTTTCCCCACCCAAAGGAAAGTTCAAGTCCCTGCCCAACACCCACAAGTCCATCATATTCATTCCAATTGGAGATGCCTCCCAGTTCCAGCCGTCCAGGTGCAGGACAAGTTGGCCTTGACTTCTTGAGAAAGGAATGTTATTATCACTATATCTCACCCATGCTCCATACAATCCCTCCTCCCAGTTTCCCACAGTGGTAAACATGGTAGGTCTGAAGGCCTGACAGAAGATTTGCTTCTTCTCTGGACTCTGACAGTCTTCCTTCCATTAAGGAGACTTCCAGCACTTTCTTCATCAGTAGACTTTGTGGGCCATGAAAATATGATTAAAACTTACGATTTTTAATTTTTAATGAGCTGTGGCTTTAAGAAATTTTTTCCAGAACAGGATATTCATTTTTCTTCTTCCCTCTTTTCATTTGCAGTTCAGGAGCGCCTTACAAAACAAATTGCTGTGGCCATCACAGAAGCCTTGCAGCCCGCTGGAGTTGGGGTGGTGATTGAGGCAACGTAAGTTGATGCAAAATTTGTAATGTGTCCAAAGAGTGGGGGAATTCAAGTTGGGGGTGGGGGGGAGAGAGAGAGAGATTTTCACTGTTCAATTTCTATACAGATAGTCCTCGACTTACAACCATTTGTTTAGTGACTGGTCAAAGTAACAACGGCATTGAAAAAAGTGACTTATGACTGGGTTTCACATAACTGTTGCAGCATCCCCCTCCAGTCATGTGATCAAAATTTGGAAACTTGACAACTGGCATGTATTTATGACAGCTGCAGTGTCTCAGGGGTCATGCGATAACCTTTTGTGACCTTCTGACAAGCAGAGTCAATGGGGAAGCCAGATTCACTTAATAAGCATGTTGCTAATTTAACAACTGCAGTGTTAACTGCTTTTAACTGAAAGTATTATACAGGGATAGAATAATAATAGAACTTTGTGAAGATGTGAAAAATATACGGGGTGGACGGGTTCAAGTTTTATAAAAAGGGGATTTTGATTTGGATTACATTTTGAGGAAGTCTGGGGGGGAGGGGAGGGTTAGGGGGGTTAGGGAGGGTTAGGGAGGTCTGGGAGGGTTGGGGGGGAAATTGGGGAGAAAATGTAATTGTAAAACTTTTTCAATTAAAAAAAAAAAACTGCAGTGAATCACTTAACAACCAGGACAAGAAAGGTTGTAAAATGGGCGAAAGTCACAACAGTCTTGCATAGCAACTGAAATTTTGGGTTCAGTTGTGGACATAAGTTGAGAACTGCATATAATCTCTATCCATCTATCTATCATCTATTTCTCTCTCTCTCTCTCTCTCTCTCTCTCTCTCTCTCTCTCTCTCATCTATCTATCTATCTATCTATCTATCTATCTATCTATCTATCTATCATCTATCTAACTATCTATCTATCTACCTACCTACCTATCTCTATCATCTATCTATCATCTATTTCTCTCTCTCTCATCTACCTACCTACCTACCTATCTTTCTATCTACCTACCTACTTATCATTTCTCTATCTAGCATCTATTTCTCTCTCTCTCTCTCATCTATCTACCTACTACCTACCTACCTATCATTTCTCTATCATCTATCTATCATCTATTTCTCTCTCTCTCTCTCATCTACCTACCTACCTACCTACCTTTCTACCTACCTATCATTTCTCTATCTAGCATCTATCTATCATCTATTTCTCTCTCTCTCTCTCTCTTATCTATCTATCTATCTATCTATCTATCTATCTATCTATCTACCTACCTACCTGCCTACCTGCCTACCTACCTATCATTTCTCTATCTATCTATCATCTCATCTACGAGCCATAGTGGTGCAGTGGTTAGAATGCAATATTGCAGGCTACTTCTGCTGACTGACTGCTGCCAGCTGTTCGGCAGTTTGATTCTGACCAGCTCAAGGTTTGACTCAGCCTTCCATCCTTCCGAGGTGGGTAAAATGAGGAGCCAGATTGTTGGGGGCAACATGTTAACTCTGTAAACTGCTTAGAGAGGGCTGTAAAGCACTGTGAAGCAGTATATAAGTCTAAGTGCTATTGCTATCTACTGTATATCATCACCCCCCGCCTTCCCAATGGAGAATATATAGTTTCATCACCTCAGTGACTGCCACAACTTAATCATGAATAAAAGTGTACATGAGAGTGGAAATAGTGAGGGTTTGATTTTTAAAAAATAATTGGCAATCTATTATACTGAAATCAAATCGTATTTCAATTATGCAGCGAAAGCTTTCTATCCTACTTCTACTGTTTTTTTGTAACAGAAAGAGACAGACTACATTTTTTTCAGCAAAAATATTTCCACTGGATTGTTTTCTCTGTCTTTTCCTTCTGCAGGCACATGTGTATGGTGATGCGAGGGGTTCAGAAAATGAATAGTAAGACTGTAACCAGCACCATGCTTGGAGTATTCCGAGAAGACCCAAAGACACGTGAAGAATTTTTGGCACTCATCCGTAGCTAAAAACATGCCATCGATTTTCCTTCCTGGACTGTCTTCTCTAGCATTGATGTTGAATCTTTTGTTGTTTGTGTTGCTCCTTCTCTTTTTGGAAAAGTAACAGTCACTTTAACATTTCTGAAGTTTTACTGTGTTGGTGGTAAGTTCCAACATGTAGTTTCTTTGTCCATTTGGTTCCTTGTGTCATTGGAGCATAAAGGTCCTGGAAATATTTTCTCAATCTATGTTATGTGGCTGTTATAAGGCAAATGTCATGCAGTGGCTATGTGTTTTTGTGTGGGCTTAGTCAGGTTGTTCTTGTCAAAGTCATCTGAAATGCTTGAAGGATATATCCCACTGAGACAGAGAAACCCTTTGCCCTAATGTACAGCAAATTTCTCCATCCTTTTTCCAAGGTCAAGAAAGATGGACAAAGGAATTAGAGGCTTGTCTAGATGTTGAAGAGAGGGCACTACTTCCTTCCCACATCATTACGGGGTCATATATTCATTCATTCATTCATTCATTCATTCATTCATTCCTATTCCTTGTTTCAGAGCAACTTGTACCACCACTCCCTCGGCCCTCTATTTTGTACTTCAGTTGCAGCTAGCCCAATTCTTCACTTTTGTAATCTCTTTTACTTTTTGCAAATGAAAGTGGCCCCATTTTCATCAGGTGGATGAATTTCCGTTGCCTTTGCTCAGATGTCTCTCCAAACCCAGGCAAGTAGAAGTCAAATTCCTTTGATTAATTTCCATTGATGAAATGGAAATTATGGACCTTCTGAGAGAGGGAAGGAAAATCTGGAACTCTTGTTTTGGAGTGGTTAAATTATTGTGTTCATTACTGATATAATAGTTATATATAATAGTTATAATTATAATACTAATATAATTTTTAAATTTTTTTTGTTTTGAAAGACCCAGGGTCTGAAATCTTGAGATACTTATGTTAACCTCATCATAATGCAGGAAACTGGATAGCAACTGCTTTTCCTGGACAGGAGTTGCTTAGATTTGGCAAAAACTCTGACACTGAAGAGAAAAAATAAGTCATATTTTGCCTGGCGTTTATTTCATTAAAGGAACAAGATACAAAACGGAATTCCTTTTGAGGCGATGGGAGCAGAACTATGTACAAACCCAGCCCTCCTGCATAAACTGGGTCTACGGTTCCAGGCTTGTTAGGAATTCTGGGAATTGTAGTTTCAACTCATTTGGAAGACATTATCATGGGGGAGGATGACCTGCCCTCAGGAATCCAGGACTGATTACATTTTGATAGGATTGGAGCATTGTATTTTTCCCTTATATGAAAGTGATGTGGATGTTCTCTTTTGGTAAACTCTAGTAAACCTTTTACCACATAATTTCTGTTCAATATAGGTTGTGACTATACTGTGGACACTACCACATGGTTTATATTCTATACTGGACTTACATTCAAGTAAGAATGATTTAAGTTACTTCTTGGATGTCAGCCCTACATTGTTTACAACAACTTGGTGCCAATTTCAGACCACCTTCAGCCTGGGATTCTGCATCTTTGCTAAAACAGGCCTTGACAGGAACTTTTTGAACAGAATCAGTTTTCAAACCAAGATGGAATAAAGGATATTGGGAGGCTGTATTTAGCAGCCAATTCCTTATTTGTCTTCAGTTTTTCCATTTGTCTTTTTGCTGTTCAGAAGTGATTTTGTAAGTTAAAACTATGTGGAGGAAAAACACATCTCTGGAAAAACCCAGAGTTTTGCCTTCCTGATCCCCTCCTGGGTATTGGATAATATGATAGACTCTGTTTCCTTGGCAGAGTTAGCAACTGCTTTCTCTTGTCCTGTGGCCCTTGGCAAGTTCCCATCATCGGGAGGGTAAATCAGACATTTAGATCATGAAGCGGACAGTCTGCGCAGCTCCAGTGGGTTCTGGTTGTTTGTGCGAAGGACTTTGAAGGATCTCCCTCATCTCAGTTCTGCCCATGAAAATGCCAAAATGCTCAGCCGAATTCAGGCTTACCAAATCAACACCCAGAATTCCATGTTTAGACAACTTGTGTAATGTAATTTGCTCAGTCATAGTAGGAGAGAAGGAGGTGTGCATGGCACAGAGCTCCTTATTTCCAGATGTTTTGTTCAGGCTCCCTTTGGGTTTTGGGGAATATCATCATCCATTGCTTAGTTTGCAAGTATTTCTTTGCTGCATTAACTCAAATTGCCCTGGAGCGGACTTCAACATGCAATTCTTAAATGGATTTCTGTTGGATCCATGGCAGGGTACCCAGATTTGCGAGTGTATTTATAGCATGCAGAAACTCCAGCCAATGATGCCTTTCTAACAAATGCTGCCTTCTAGGGAAGTGGGCATTATTTTATTTCCACATTTCAGTCTGAGGCATCTTCCTAAACCCAGGATGGACAACCTACAGTTGCAGGCACCTGATTTCTGTTTATGGCTCTCTGGCCATGTTGGTTAAACATGAAGGCAAAGTCTCCTGCAATTTGATGCAGGAAACATGAACGCTGCTATACAAGCTCTAAAATAGGCATATTGCTGTAACACCACCACCCCTATCCCTCTACTCTTCCATGATATATATAACCCCACTCATTTTTTTGCTCCTAAGCCCCATCACCGTTTTAAATGTAATATTGGCCAGCAAAGGTTGCCCATTTCTGAAATAAATAAGTAATTCTGGTTTTGGACATTTTCTTCCTTCACCATAAAGTCCTCAGCAGATGAGAGCTTGAGTAAGGTTCACATGGGAGCTGTGAGCACAGCAACCCTGGTTTGTGGTGTCCAAAGTAGGTCAGGCTCTTTTTTCCCTCTTGTGTAACTGGAATGTCACGAAAAGCCGCTTACTGGAACTGATCTCAATAATTGCCTTCTGAATGGAAAACATATTAAAGAAAGTTTTATAACCACTCTAATTAGAGAAAGACACTACATCCATCTAGGTTATTTTACAAATTGCACTGTAATGTCTCAAAGGCCTAAAATTGCACTGTGAAGTTGGGAGAAGCCAGTGACTTGATTGGTCTGGAGAGTTCAAGTCGTCGTTGCACCAGTGCTTGAAATAGGAAGAGGAAATAGCTACATCCAGCCAATCTCTCTCTCTTTCTCTTCCTTGTTTTTTACCATGCAATCCTCCCGACATACCTCTTCACTGGTACCTGGATGCATCCTTAATAGCCCTGCTTCCTCTCTTGCCTAGTTTGAAAATGCGTGAGGGATGCAAAGAAGTCCATTTCCATTCCTTTCCCTGGAAGAAAGGAAATTCCAAGTGGCTTGTTCTTTTTGTGGCCTTAATGTATTGAGATCCTTTGGCTCAGTGAATCCTATTTATGTTTTTTGTGAACTCTCTCTCTCTTGCCCTTACTGCCTTTATACTACTACCCGTATGTATGTTTATGTAAGTATGTGTTTATCCAAATATGTATATGTACATGTATGTAAATCATATGCAATTTGCTGTTGTCTCTCCCTCCAAATTCTGGCCTATTTATAGTATTAAAATGCAGTGTTGATCACTTTTGGAGATAGTCCTCTGTGTGATTTGTGAATGCAGTGCTCTTTTTTACTTGCTGAACACGGTGGCACATGGGTTTTATGGCCAGGGTGGTGTGGTGGTGCGCTGTGGTGGTGTGGGTCAGCAGAAGGAGAGAAGGCAACATGGGGAGTGAAGGGGTGCTTGCTGGGTTTGGTTGTTTTCTTGCAGACGTTTGAGTATTCAAACTAGGTAACATCATCAGTGTTAGTAAGAAGTCGGTTTTGTGCTCAGTTTATATTCTAGTGACTTGCCCTGTCAGTGTTGGTGGGGATGGTCTTAGAGGTTCTTTGATCAACACTGATTGGGCAAGCCACTAGAATATCAACTAAGAGCAAACTCCACTCCTTACTAGCACTGATGATGTTACCTAGTTTGGGTAATGAGACGTCTGCAAGCTCAGAGAGCACCATTTCATCTCCTTTATTGGTAACATGGGAGTGGAAACTAAATTCTGGCCTCGAAGCGCATATGTCCTTTCCCAAGGGCTGATGGGTTGACTTAGCTGCTAGCCAGGGCTGTTGGGCATCAGAGAGACGCAGTATTCCCATTAGTTCAGCCTTGTGCATAGGGCCATGATGGTGATCCTATAGCATGTGTGCTGGAAGTGGCATGGAGAGCCATCTCTCTGGGCACGTGAGCTGTCACTCGTTGGTTCTTCTGGGTTCCGGCACGCCAGCCAGCTGGCCTTCACGTGCGTGGGAGTACTGGAAACCAGAAGAGCATCCGCCCGGTGTGCATGCATGCACCGGGAAGATGATCTTCTGGTTTCGGGCACGCATATGCGCACTCGCCACCTGGTCTTCGTTTCTGGCATGCATGCATGCACGAAGACCAGCTGGCTTCTTCCCGGCAAATGTATGCTCCCCAAGCAGAGGCTCTTTTGGTTTCTGGTGCATACTGCACACATGCACATGCGCTCATGCTCCTGTTTCAGCACTCGTTGCCGAAAAGGTTCGCCAACACTGACATAGGGTATTGGGGACTATAGCCCTGGGAAAATGCCCACCTCCTCAGTTGCTGGAGAAGGCTGCTGGTTTGAGCCATAAAGGAGTGCAAGGAAGAAAGTAGTATAGAGAGATGTGTTTGAGCCTGTGCTGCTTTGAGGCATGCAGGTAAAAAATGCCTTTGGAGAGACCTGGGTGGCTGGCGAAAGGCTGCTGGCTGTATGCTGAGTGTTTAGTGGAGATTCCCAGTCTCAGAGGAAGAAGACATCAGCTGGAGGCTTCCTTGGGCAGTGAAGACCCAGGCATGCTTCACCCCAAACCCAAGACAGATAGGGATGGAGAGAAGCCTGCAATCGGATACCAGGAGCATTTGGTGGAAGCCCAAGAGGGAGTTGCTTCACAAAAGATCCTAGCAGAGGGACAAGTGCAAAAGACTTGAAGCCCACACTGGACTCAATCAGTTCCCCTCCTCCCTCTGTCTAAGAGAGAGACAGAAAAGAAGACATGGGGGTAGCTTTGCTAGCAAGAACCATGTGGAGAGAGGGAGCTACAGAAAAGTAAAAACTGAAAAGCTTGGACACTGCTGGACAGGATTTTGAAAATACAGATGAATGTAGTAAAGGAAACAACAAGAAACCCCCCCCCAAAAGATTCCTCTATCAAACTATTGTCTGTGAAACCATTGTCCTACTTAATGATACACGCATAGAGTTGTAAAAGAACCCCCAGTCATACTGTGACAAATAGGTAACAATTTATAGTTAACACTATTTGAGAATTGCTTTTATACCCCTCCATTCAGCTTCAGAGGCAGCTGAACCCTACTCTGAAATGCAGGTACAAGTTAGAAGAAATCTTCCACTTTAGAACAGCAGGAAATTTTCTGCCACACGCTGGTGGGAATTAGATGAATAAAGAGATTATCACAGGTTTATTCCCAGATCATATGATGAGGTTGGGCTTTTAAGAGTTCTCTACCTTGCTTCTTGGGTCAATTGTAAATCCATGCCACAAAAGATCTTTTTCCTCAAAATGCAATGCCTGAATTTTTCCTAATGCCATGGATTTTTTGGGGGGTGGTGGTACAGCACTTGTATTTTCAAAACAGAATCGTCTTTTCCTTTTTACTTGAAGTGAGTGGATTCACGTTTTCCCCTTTGTTTTTGTTCGTTCGAGAGGACTGCTCCCCAGTTTTCAAAAGCAGCAAAATGCAGCATTTGAAAAACTCAAAGGCAGTGTCAATATTAATCTCCTCAAACAATACAGCCTGGCTTTGCTGAGCTATCTAATACTCTTGAAATTACATCTATCACCTTCTTTGTTCAGCTTTATTGAATCCAGAAATGAACTAAAATGTTGACCTTTAATTCTGGCAGGAGCCCATGTCTTTGTAGCAGATGATTCCAGCAGATTCAACCCTGGCTAGAATAGAATAGAATAGAATAGAATAGAAATAGAATAGAATAGAATAGAATAGAACAGAACAGAACAGAACAGAACAGAACAGAACAGAACAGAACAGAACAGAACAGAATAGAATAGAATAGAATAGAATAGAATAATTCAATTCTTTATTGGCCAAGTGTGATTGGACACACAAGGAATTTGTCTTGGTGCATACGCTCTCGGTGTACATAAAAGAAAAGATTGGTATCCAACCTCCACAGCAAAAGGATGCTTAGGATCTCCCTGCCTGGAGCATTCTAACAGTCTTATGGTTTATTTATTTTTTTAATTTAATTTAAGAAAATTTATATGACCACCCAACTCATGCTCGGTGATTCCTGGAAGGATAAAACCCCAATACAGGCAGTCCTTGAGTTGTAACAATTCGTTTTGTGACCGCTCAAAGTTACAACTGCATTGAAAAAAGTGACTGCTGATTATTCACACATTTGACCATTGCAGCATATCCCATGGTCGTGTGATCAAAACTTGGATGCTGGGCAACTGGCATGTATTTATGACGGTTGCAGTGTCCTGGGGTCACGTGATCACCTTCTTTTGTCATCTTCTTTGCTTCTGACAAGCAAAGTCAATGGGGAAGCCAGATTCACTTAACAACCATGTTACTAATCTAACAATTGCACCGATTCACTTAACAACTGTGTGGCAAGAAAGTTTGTAAAACCGGGCAAAACTCAAAAACTGTCATGCTTAACAACAGAAATGTTGGGCTCAGTTGTGGTTGTAAATCAAGGCCTACCTGTATAACCAAAGCATCAGTCATATGGAGGAAGTGGGGAAGTGTGTGTTTGTGAAGGGGGATGGAACTGAAACACTGGTGTAGGATGAGATTAACTCTTTACCTTCGCTGCCATTTCAGTCATTGAAATTGCTCCATTATCAAACTAATCTTTCCCTGCTTGGGGTGGGGCAAGAATCATACTGTATAGCAGGGGTCCACATTCCCTAGTCTGCAGACTGGCCCTGGTCCACAGCCTGCCAGGAACCAGGTAAGCTAAGCCCCATCTGTGCATATACAGGATGTGGGCAGCACATAAAACCATGTCCGTCCCCCCCACCGGTCCACAGAAAAACTCCCCACCACAGAACCAGTTCCTGGCAACCAAAAGATTGGGGGGCTGCTGCTGAATAGCATATTAGCCGATTGATTCCTCCAAATACTCTTTTCACCAGGGCAAACAGCTTTTGGAAAAGGGTGAATTTAAAATAGACACTGACCTTGATAAATGCATTAGCTCCATTTCCAGCACTGCAGCTCTTAATTTTCTGCAGATGTTCCTTCTCTGACACTCTTATTAGGGCTTAAAAAGGAAAGAGGAACATCAATGACATGTCATAACTAGTTCATAAATTTTAATCTGAGTTGCTTCAGGACCTCATTATGAATGTCTGCAAAGGCTGGAAATGCAAGTTGCCTTCTCTTTTGGGATGTCTGCTGAATGTGAGATTTCAAATTCAAGCAGATTTCAGGATGAAAGAAGCCCCGTGCCTCTCATTTGCTGATCTGCAACCCTAAACCACGTTGTCATCCATAATTCAGTATGGAGCAAATAATAATTTTCACTAGATTTACATTCTGCCATTCTTCCAGAATTTCAGAGGATCGCCCTTCCAATGTTTCCCTACCGTAATGATCCTGTTTTGATTGGATTGAGATTCACCCAATGAACTTTCATGGTTAACGATGGACTTTCACTCTGGATTACTCCAATCTTCTACATCAGGGGTGTCAAACTCAATTTCATTGAGGGTCTCATCAGGGCTATGGTTCACTTCATGGGGGGGGGCGGGGGGGGCAACCGGGTGGGCGTGGCCAGCTTGACACCACTTCCCAAACTGCTGGCATGTTTCCTCTTTGCACTGGGTAGATGGGGCCAAAGCTATGGTGACCTGATCTTTTCTCTTTGCACTGGGTAGACCGATCTTTCTTCTTTGCACTGGGTAGACCAGGCTGAAGCCACGCTGGCCTGATCTTTCCTTTTCGCATTGGGTAGACAGGTCTGAAGCTATGTTGGCCCGATCTTTTCTCTTCGCATTCTACATGCTTCTCATAATAGCCATGCTACCCATTTAGGTATCTATCTGTATTTCAGAAATATCCTTGGAGTATTTTCCTGACAAGGGAAAAGCTTCTGCTAATGGAACCACCAGTGAGAGATGGTTGATGTCATATGATGTGTTTAAGGACAAATTCCACAGTTCTTCTGTTCAGGATGTTTGAATTTGAACAGGGGGTTGAATTCTTTGGTCTAAATTATTTTCAGTGCTATGATTTGATATACTGTTGTGGCTCCGTTGCCTGAGCCTGGGCTATCGACAGATGCAGACTCTGAGAGTGAGGGGGAGGAGTTGGCAAGGCCTCCCTCTCCAGGACCCTCCTCTCTGGCAATGCCTCCGGAGGACACTGAAGGCCAAACGATAGGCTCAGAGCCAAGCACATCCCCGCAGCCACAGGTGGACAGCGACGAGGAAGATAAGTGCTGGCTGGACCCTCGACAGAAGCGCAGGGAGAAGCGTGCACAGCAGAGGGGAAGGTGTGCCAGAGATTAGCTGAGTCACTGGACCACACCCCAC